TGAGGACTGAGCCCAGGGGACACTCCTAGAAACAGTCTTCAGAGATAAGGAACCAGCAAAAAGACTGAGAAAAGGTGACCAATAAAGAGGAGGAAAATGAAGAGTTTGTGATCTCCTGGAAATAAGGAGAAGAAGATGTTTTCAGGGGGAAAGAGTGATCAAATGTGTCAAATGTTGTTAATGACTTCTATTCTGAGTAGGAAGTAAGATCACATTTTGAAAGTGTGAAGGAGTGAGGTTGAGCTAAAGAGAGACAACTTAATGAAAAGTTCCTGGACTTGAAAGTCAAATGGACCTGGGCTTCAATCCCAGCTCAGTAGCTTAGCTGGCTGAGAGAACCTTGCAGGGTTGTTGGTACATTTCAGCATACGTGCTAGGCATGGCGGGGGCCTGGGAGAGCTCCTGAACAACCATGCTGCGGAGTAGAGGAGTGACTTCAGTAGGGATGGGTGAAAGAATCCTGAGAAGATTCAGTGGAGATTGGAGAGGGAATTGCAATGGTGCTAGTTTATGTGGTTTTTTTCCTTTAGATGTGGAATATAGAGGTGAGAAAGTAGAGATTGACTCATTCCAGTATTGGGAATTGAAAGGGGCAGAAGCAAAGAAGGGAATGTAGTGCAGGACAACCTAGACAAGCAACATACTCTGCAATTTGAGAAAGATTAGGTTCTGAAGTGATTATAGTGTGGGAGGTCAAAGGAGTTCCTGTAGCCCTCCGCTCAAGTGGTGTTTGGCACAGGAGCATCAAGAACAGAGCATCAGATCACAACACTCAGAAAGGCGATGTAGTGTTCACAGACAAAAGAGAACAATTGCGCTTTCGTTTTCTCCATTAATGTGAAAAAAACCTCCAAAAAAGAGAATAGAAATAGATATCGAGGAACGGCGAGCAGACAGTGTGACAACTGGAGAGTGGGGGAAGTGTCAGAAGTCTGCATCTGGGCCAGTGCTCAAGTTTTCAAAAGAAGGGGAAGTCAGAAGCCCCAAATTTAGAGCTTGATAAGTATGACATCTTTTTCCTATGGGGAAAAACAGTATAGATTGCTAACATTGACTTGTCAAGACAGAGAACAACTAAACAATGGTCCCCGGTCGTCATGTGGTTTAATTTAGAATAAGTGCGCACGGTGAGAATTTGTCCTGCCTCCTCTCCGTTCCCACCCACCCCTCTCCTCCTCTAGGTCTCATTCACTGCTCTGGACAGATGAAACAGTGCTTTAGACACAAGGTCCCTTCATTTCAGCTAGCTTCTGATAGAGTCAGGCGTGATAGTCTGTGTTCAAGATGGGGAAATAACATGAGCAGAGGTAAAGTACGCAGCTGAGTAGACACGAAGCTGCTGGAAGAGGGGAGGCTCTGTGTGAAGTGGAAACGACCGTTAGCGTGGGACTTGGGCGTGGGAGCAGTGTTGACTTTTCCACCTGCAGCCTGAGCGATTGAACTTCTGTGAACCTCAGTTTCCTCAGATAAAATGGGAATAATAAGACCTACCTGCTGCGTTCCTGCAGATTAAAGGGGGTGATGGCCTCAGTGTCCCTGATAATGGCGCAGAGATGTTCCCTTCCTCCTCTTCCTTTCCGTGACCCCCTCCTCGCACCACCACCACCTGTCTGCACAAAACAGTGATTGGGAAAAAGGAAGGGAGAAGTTTAGACCATGTGTGGCAGAGGCGGAGTGATAAAGGGAGAGGATTGGGAAAATAAATATGAGGAGGACTATTCTTCTGCCTCATGTCCTCAAGAAATACCATTCGCCCTAACACTGCTTTTGTCAAAGAAATTAGATTTAAGAATTCATTACTTAGTATTTACCGTGGATGAATATATAGGAAACTGTACTTCAAAAGCTTTTTCATGAAACATTATTGTACTTATATCATATACCCAAGCATTTGTAGCACTCTTCATTTATAATCATGATCAACGAATAGATTTTTACAAAAGCATCATATTGTTTTAGCCACTAAGTTTTATCACTGTTATTTTTAACTTTTTGTTTTGACGTGGCTTTTAACTGTGATTAAAAATTATTGGCATCTGTGTTTACTTTTTAGCTTGTGCATACCTTACCTTCATAGCAGAAACTAATTAGTATGTGAAATACAGTACCATTAAATATGCATTAAGGGGGAAAATTCTAATCTAGTCATATGTAAAATATAGTAGAAAATGTATTTTAATATATGAAAGAGATGTACATGTTATTAATTCTGGTTCCATTCTTATAACAAAGAAATGTTTTAGCATTTGTCTCTATACGCCTTTACTTGGCTCCTTCAATGTAGGTAGATTACAGAATTTAGAAGAAAACTCATCTTCTTTCATGAAATTTACAAAGTGATTTAGAAAAATAACTTCATATGTGATGGGCTTGCTTTAGCAAAGTGGAATGAAATACCCCACAGAAATATGTTCTGAAGCACTACAATATATTTTCTAGTTCCAGATAGGTTTCATACTTGCCTTTCTTGAGTCTTTTCCTAGTTTACTGCCTGAAATCACTTAACATCCTAAAGCATAACAGGTAAATGTTATATCTTCTGTGAATCTCTTTCTGACTGCCTGTAAAGAAATGTTTCTTTTAATTCACCCTCATGTTGGAGGCATGTGACTTTTAGATTATTACTGTTAATTTTATATCTCAAAGATATTTCAAGACTGTCCCTGGGCCGGCCTGGTGGCCAGTGGTTAAGTTAAGTTTGCGCTCTGCTTCGGTGGCCCAGCGTTTCGCTGGTTCACATCCTGGGCGTGGACATGGCACTGCTCGTCAAGCCATGCTGAGGCAGCATCCCACATGCCACAACTAGAAGGACCCACAACTATGTCCCAGGGGGCTTTGGGGAGAAAAAGGAAAAATAAAATCTTTAAAAAGAACAACAATAAACTGTCCCCTTTTTTCTTGTTCCTGCTGCCACCGTAGTAATCCAAGGCACCCTCATTTCTCTCTTGGAGTACTGCTATTGTCTCCTAGTTGATCCTTCCTATTTTTGCTGTCCTTCTCAGAGGAGCCTGAGTAAACTTTTGAAAATAGAAGTCAAATCGTGCCCTCGCATTCCCCCACTTCCCATACCATCACATTGCCCACTTACCCTCTTCCAATAGCACTGCTTTGCCTTCATTCCCCATTCGCAGCAGTAGACACCCCCAGTTTTTCTTAATGCTACTTATCAGAATTGGTAATTATTTATTAAACTGGATATTTACCTGTTTGTTGTGTCTTCTCTATTAGCCCGTGACTCCATGAGCAAAGGAGTCGTCTTTTTTTAAACCTGTTATATCTGCACTATCCTTAGCATTTAGTAAGTGCACATCAAGAATTTTGTTTTTTAATGAAAGAATTTGGTCCTGTATATCACAAAACAGCCACTTGCCTGATGCTTAGTTATGTATTTCATATTCATTAGATGATACTCGTAGACTGCAGTGTCTCCTCTTCTGTGCTTTGTTTTTTCCATCAACACTGATCACCACCTGATGACCTAGAATGAAAGTTCCATGAGGGCATCTGTGGTGTTCAATGCCCTGTCTTCAGTGCGTAGAACAATGCCCAGAATATATTTACTTGTTGCGTATTTGTTGAAGGTATGACTGATTGAGTAAATGAACTTCCACACACTTGACATCTTGGAATTCATTCCTATGATAAACAGTTCAGTTCAACAGACATTTATTAAACATCTACTCTGTGCTAATCATTATGCTGGGCCCTGTGGGTATAGAAATCAGTAAGTTATGATGTCATTTCTGCTTCTGATTTATTTTGTATTAAGAAGTTTGCTATTATTCTAATTAATTTAGAAGTTATAGTATGCTATGACAGGGGCTTTCATGTTGTAAGCCTGGCTCCTGTTAAACAAGTGAGACTGGAGTGGTTTCAGACTACTGCTTTGTTTCACTAGTTTAAATGCGGTGTCGTTAATGACACTTTACTTTCTGTTCAGGCACAGTTGGTCAGACCCTCTTGGAATGGCTTTTAGATCTTAGCTTCTTTGATCTGTTTCTCCTTTATCTTCTAGGTCTAACTAAGGTCTGATGCTTTTGTGAAGATCATGAATATAATGCAGTGTCCTAATATTTTGCTCTCCACTGTCGCTGATAGTCTAATTGTGATTTGCTGACGTGTTAAAAAATTGATCCAGCAAGAGCTTTGTTTAGAATCTTGCTAGAAGCAGAGATCACAGATGCTGTGTTAGTTTCAAGTTATCTTCCTTTCCTTTCTTCTTTAAGTTGATGTTATATTTTGTAATATGAAACATTTTTCCAGTTTTCCGTATGATGAAGAAAATCTCTCCTAGTTTACTTTTGATGTCAAGATGAGATTTATGTATAAAATTGAAGAAATACGCTCTTACTTTTGGTTTGACATACACCCAGATTTTAAAATTGTCACCTGGACTAGTTTGGGACCTCTTTTGTTAAGAAGCACATTAAAAAGCCACAAGCAAAAAGATAAAATTTTAATACTCTGTTTCTATTTTAAAATGTATAATTTAGAATTAAACCTTATATGTGTATTCTGTGTTTTCCTTTTCAATAACTGATTTTTCTTTTAAATAGGAGACATACAAATTCTATGATCCTTAGTGAAATATATTCTTTATATCCCCCTGAATAAAATGTATTACAACATGGAAATAATAACTACTCCATGCCTAAATATTAGCTGCTAAGGCCTTCCCTTCAAGAAGAAAGGCTTACTATTTTTTTCTGTGTCCCTGAATATTTTTGGTGATTTTTGTATCGTTATTACTGTACTTTGATTAAGTATGACTGAGTTTAAATGAGTGTATACCTTACAGCCATTTGATTTAGATCATTAATTTCATCTTTTTTTTTTTTCTGGTACAGGAGAAGCTTAGCAATAAAGGGAGCTTGTCACTATGTTTTAAGAAGTATTTTTCTGTCTCTGGGTTTAACCTCTTCTGGTATTAGAAAAATAGTGAAAATTTTCTATTGCTAGTGCTTAGTACGTATATTAAAGGTTTGCCTTTTCTTTTGTAGGATGAAGTGGCACACACTCTAACTGAAAGCAGAGTATTAAAGAACACTAGACATCCCTTTTTAACAGTAAGTGACCAGAGGACAGATGTTATCATCATGACATTTTAAATTTAAGGAAGTTTTATTACAGAAAGTAAGCCATGAAAAATAACGTTTTAAATAACGTTCATTTTAGGATGCCATTTTCTTTGTGGAAACACTATAACTCACGTTTCCTTGAAATTATTGGAATGTATGGATTAAGTTTACAATATGCATGCATTTGTAATCCCTCTCATTATACATCCATTACATTGTGAGAGTTCCTTTTTCTCCCATGAATTCACTGCCTTTACAGAAAAAAAACACCATAGAGCAAATAAGTCACCTCTGGCATTTTAAGAAAACCACTGAGAAAATGGTAGACTTAAAAAATATTCTTAGTATTAAATGTAAGGATTTTATGTTTCTTTTGTTTACTGGCTTCTGATGAATATTTAAATGATCAGGCAGCATTGTCTTCAAATATGAAAGGCGGAAATCTTTGCTGAATATTTTTTAGAGAAATTGAGACTTATTTTAGATATAGAGTATTTTAAGAAATATGGGAATACTGAACACATTAAATTAAAGATAGGATAAGTCACAATGTGTTTTCTTTACTAGACAAAGTATAAACTGTGACTGAGTTGTTTTGAAAGAATGATTTTTTTTTAGTCCTGTTCGTAGATTGCTTGTAATAGAGGCATAATATGCAACATTTCTGTTTGTTCCTGGTTCCGATGAAGTGTATTAGGATTAAAATGATAGCTAGACTTTTAAAAAGGGGGAAGCTTTTAAAGATTTAGAATTATCTGAAGTAGAAATTTTCCGAAGTGTCACCAGATACCTAGACTTACTTTGTTACATTGTTGTGTGTTTATTGTCTGGTGTAATAAGATACCTATAAAGTTTTGATATCTTTATAATTTGTAAAATTACATGAACCAACTCTGTTGGATCGGATCATGTTATGCACTCAGTATGCAAAAAATGATGTTGAAACTATATTAGAAATTGAATATAACTACTATAACTGTATTCCTAAGACTTCCACGAGAGTAATTTGTGGCCCTTGCCTTAAGGTTGCATGGATAAAAACTTTGGGAATCAATACAGTTTCAAATAGATTGCACAATATATTGAGAAGTGCTCATCACAATTACTGATTTTATTTTACTTAAAATTTTAATTTTTCCCCGAATAATACCCAATACTGATTTAAACAGAATTTGTTTTATGTTTCTCATGAACTCTTCAGCACTCTTAAGGAGTAAGTAGACTCTTAAGGAACAATAACAATTCATTTCATCAATCATGCTTACTGTTTCTAAGTGTTCTATTTTGGTACATTACATTATAAGAATGTGGAATTATAATACAACATTTTTTCTTTTTCATTTCAAGTCCTTGAAATATTCCTTCCAGACAAAAGACCGTTTGTGTTTTGTGATGGAATATGTTAATGGGGGAGAGGTGAGTCAAGAAGTAAATCCAGCACTTGCATTTGCATGGTAGTATTGTCATTATTTTGAAAAAGTTATTTAAAATGTAAGTTGTAACATAACAGTCTCTACTTCTTGATAGGGATTTGTATAGCACTTTCTACTATTGAGTAGATGGGAGCTGAATAATTTCTAATGAAATTTAATGTCATTAACTTTTTTATAACTACTTTTATATATTGGAAAGTGCAATCGTATTCTCCTTTATCTTGTATTTTTTTAAAATGTAAAAAAATTTTACCACAATTATAATTTTTGAAATCATGATATTTAATTTCAAAAGCCAGAAAAACAGGACTTATGATGCTTTACAAAGTTCTTCCTCAAGTTTTTGCGAAACTTGTAAAAACTTATTTATTTTAAACGCAGTTGAACAATAGTCTATAGGCACATTGTGACTGAGTTTTCTCTTCTACATAGTAGTTAGAGTAACCTTGACTATAGTTAAGAGATGTTAAGGGATCTTGTAGTTTTGAAGAGAAATTTCATTAGTTTAGTAGTACATTTCACCTGTTTGTTTATTCCTTGTCCTTTCTCCCCTCTATTTTGGTCAAAACCAATGTGGGGGGAAACTGTAATTCACTGGAATAGTTAGCGGGAAATGTTTTACGTTGCGGGCTTTCTGAAATAAATTTAATTATTAAATAGGGGCTTGTATCTCACAGACCTTAAAATGGTCTTATTTTCCAAACTAAATAAATTAGTTAAATATTCCGTATAGAATATCTTCTCCTATAATTATCTGACTAATAGGAATTAGTTCATTGTGAAAATTCACTCATTCTTTTGGTATTAGTTGGCACATTTTGAGTGCCTAGGCAGTGTGGGTTTATCAAAATGTGTTAAGACATTATCTTTTCTATGAAGGAGTTTATAATTTATCTTATCAGTGTATTAAAAATTAGAATGTATAGTGAAAGACCTAACTGCTAATAAATTTGTAAAAGAAAAGCTTTATGAATGATCTAGCCTTTAGGGTAGGCGTTAAATGCTTAATGAGATTCCAGCAGGAGAACTGATTTGAGAAGGTATTACAGGCAGAGAGGAGGATGTGAGCAGACTCACTGTGGGGTGTGGGTGAGCACAGGCAAGAAGAACTTGAGTCGTTAGGTAACAGTATCCCAGGCATTCAGAACTGGGCCCTTGCCGTCAGATATTGTCTGAGAAATTACAAAGAACATGGACCTCATGGAATTGTATAGCATTGGTATGTCTTAGTGACCGATTAATTGGATGTGGGTAGAAAGAGAGAGGGATCAAAGTGGATTTTGGTTGGAATCAGGGAGAATTAAAGAGTGAACTTATGAACAATGTGTTGAGAGTAAGATTATAAATTTGATTTTGAAAGGTTTTTCCTAAGTTTCCAAGGAAATATTTATGTGGAAACATCACAGAGAATAAATAAGGGATCAGAACTGTGGATACAGATTTGGGAGCCATTCCCATAAAAGTTATAATTTAAGTTATGGAGGTAGATAGTTCCCATGTTATGGGAAATTAAATTCATGAAACCTCTATGTTAGTATCTCTCAAAATTAAAAATGCACATATTCTTGGGCTGAACAGCTTCACTTCCAGGAATTTATCCTACAGACATACTCACAAATATACCACAGAATGATTTTTGGATAAATATATTCATTGTAGCATTGTAGTACCTTAAATGAGCATTCAATAAGGAGACTACTTAAATAAATTGTGTTGTATTCATGTAGTGGAATACTTTATATCTGTTAAAAAGAATGAGGCAGCCCAGTATGGACTGATTCAGAACAATTTCTAAGACATATTATGAAGTGACAAAAACAAGGTGCAGAGTATAAAGCATGCCATCATTGTATTAAAAGAAAATAGGACTATATTTATATAATATTTGTATATACATGGAATATCTCTGGAATTATGCACTGGACGTTAGTGCTTACCTTTGGCTGGGGACAATGTGGGAGGAAGACTTATTTTTCACATATGTATTCTTGAGCAGTTTTTGTATTTTTTATCGTAAATATACTTTATTTAAAAAATTGAGGGAAGGACAGTAGGCAGGTAGACAGATGGCTGGCTGGCTGGATGGCCTGGGGAGAGAATAATATAGGGAAAATGATAAACTGCACACCAAAACTTGGAGATACGCTCTTAAACTGGAGCACTCTTAAATTGGATAAATACTCGTACACAGCGTCATGTATTTACATCTATTATAACACTTATCACATTGTTTTATAATTGTCTGTTTGCTTGTCTGTCTTCCCGCTAGACTCGGAGCTTCCTAACGGGCTTTTCGCTGGTATAACCCTAGTACCTGACACACGACCTGACACAAGTAGGAATTTGACATAATGTTTATTGGATAATTTGAATGAATAAATAAGTCAATGGATAAACACATTTCCTCAGGGAGAAAAGAAGTTAGCAAAAGTGATTAACTAGAAATTGCTGAGAAGTAGGAAGAAAATTAGAAAATAGTGTACTAACTATATAGATTATTTTGGAAAAAAGTCAAAAAGGTTTTTTCAGAAGGAAGTATCTTTGACTGTATTTATAAGATACATATTTAATGAGGTTTTGTGCACAGCACTCTGGTAGATATTGTGGGACATATAAATCTGAATTAAACCTAGATCTTACTCTCAAAGAGTGTATAGTCTAGTGAGAAAGATACGGTACAAAACTGAGACTACGTGTAAAGTGTTCACTATCACGTGGATCACAAGTGCAGGTTAAGGGCCATGGCACTTCCCAGGAGAGAGAAGCATTTTGAGTGGTGGGATGAAGGGACACTCCCTAGAGGGAGCACTTTTATTCTCAACCTAGAGTGCTTCTGAGATTAATTAATTGATGATTATTGAAAAAGTTTTACACACAAAAGCAGCTTTTCAGACAAGCCAGATGGTTTTCTTTATTATTGAGACTCCTACATTATTTCTCATTTGACATTTCTTCTCTTTTTTCAGAATTTCTGTTTTGGGAATGTTATAGATAAAGACTAAATTATTTAATATATTGAAGCAGGTGAACTGATTCTGTATGTGATAGATAATTTTAAAGTGCATGGATAGTAATTATATCATTGCAATGCATACATAGCAAAACGAAAATTTACTTATTTATATTTACACAATTTTAGTGAAAGTGAAAGTTTTGTATATGTAACTCCTCCAATTTTTAATTCTTTTAGGTTATCAAATGTACTTTTAAATACCTTTTAAACGTACTTTACAAATACAAATAGTTATTTGGTTCTTGTAACTTAATGGAATCATCTCCCTTCTTCAATGTATCATCTCTGGGGAGGGAATCTATGTTCAATGTGTCCTTATGGCGACTTCTTTAATTCTGGCTTTGCTTTAGGGTCACCACGCCGTTTATTGTGCCCAGAGATGCTTCCTAGAAATGCTGAAAAGTCAATTGCTGTAGAAAAAATACTAAACGGAGTACTTCTGTTTTTGAAATAAGATTGAAATAGAGAGAAGGAAAATAAGGAAAGCTATAAACTCACCCTAACAGTCCACTCCAAGACTTGCAGACACACTGTGAGTTACCCAGTGGGGCGTGTCTGCCTGGTGTCCAGGAGACGTTAGCAGGAGGGTACCGGCCTGTTGAAAGGAACCTGTGGAGAACTGCTGCTGCTCACCCAATGGCAGCAGCCTCAAATCTCTGTGCATCCACCTCCACCCTGAGATAGGATTCTTTACCAGGCCCCTTGAAGTAGTTAGAACTAGCCCAATTTTTATGCAATTCCTACTTATTGTCTGTTGATTTTTAATTAGCAGTAGCATCCTTTTAGCCTATACTCTGGAATGTTTATCTTGAAATATAATAGTTAAGACATTCCTTTTCTTATACTTTCTTCACATTTTTGTGAACATCTGGGATTTTTTTCAGCCTAATAGAATGCACAGGAGTTTAACATGCTCACGGCCATGCTTGTTATTATCCCTGTGTTTGCCAGTATTTTTGACAGCAGTAAATAATTTTGGTGGAAGATGATTGTGAGAGAAATACTGGTTGTGAAAAATCAACAGTGGCTGCTTATAGGCACATCAGTATAATGGAGTCACATCATAATTGCATACAACTTAGATGAATTCAAAGAAATACGCTCAGCAAGAGAGAGCATGCATAGACAGACAGATAGATAGACAGACAGATAGATAGGTAGAATAAATGAAAGAAAGAATATGGGGATTTGCCGTTCTTCTTGGTGAGTGTATTCAAAAAGTGACCTCAAGATGAGAGAGATAAATTTACTGTTTTTTTACTCCACGTCAGTTCCTACTTGCCATCCTTAGAGTTTCATGAGATGTAAATTCTGGCACTTAAAAATACGTAGTTTTGGGGGCTGGCCCGCTGGTTGAGTGGTTAAGTTTGCACACTCCGCTTCTGTGGCCCAGGGTTTTGCCGGTTCGGATCCTGGGCGTGGACCTAGCATCTCTCATCAAGCCATGCTGAGGCAGCATCCCACACAGCAGAACTACAAGGACCTACAACTATAATGTACAACTATGTACTGGGGGCTTTGAGAAGAAGAAGAAGAAAGAAAGATTGGCAACAGATTTGTTAGCTCAGGGCCAGTCTTTAAAAAAGCAAAAAATACATAGTTTTTATAAAACTTTGTCATTAAGTGCATTATAACTACAGGTGTTCATCTAAAAAAACCTCTATTATTTCAGTGGTGGAAGAAAACTCTTCCGGGCTAACGTATATTGAGACATAGTATGTTGGGTCTCCAGTGTAGTCCCTTCCTAAGGAATTTTCAGGAATGATTTTTATTATAGTTGATAATTTATGTATTAACTTTAGAACCCACTCCATTATAGTCCATTTGCCTATTAAATATTTAATGAGCAACTACTCTGAGCTGAAGCTCGAAGGATGCAGAAATAGTAAAAGCATGGTACTTTCTTTTAGAAGATGAGTGTCTAATTGGGGAGCTAGACAAGAGAATATGCATATACTTTATAGTGTCGT